GCTCCTTCCACTGGTGGTTCTGTCTCTCTGCCCCTCCCCGAGACAGAGCACAACCATCTCACCTGGACGACCACGAATATTGCTTGCACAATGGGGTAGATTATTTTGATTGCAGACAGGCAGCTGTAGAAGCTCGAGTAATATCCTATTTTGAACACATCCATGACAAGGCTGAAAATAGCAAATAGGATCAGGCCTCCTGTTAAGGAACCAAAATATCTGTGTTGGACAGATGTATACACATGTGGGCTAATGCAGAGAGCTGAGTGGAAGAAGAGGAACTATTGCCATGGAGTGGCTTTGCTTCTACCTCTGTTTTTCCTCTCCCAGCACCCAAATTGTCTTGGCACCAACAGAATTGTACAATAATTTTGGCTGGAAAGGATTTTCAAGCAACCCTCTACTCTGACTGGGGCTAATAACTCTTGCAAGAGCAATGGCAAGGCTGGGAAGGAACCTGGTGTGAAGTACCAAGAGTCCTTGTGGATAATGGGAGACCTGGCGGGAGGGGTGAGGAGCTCATCTGCTGAAGCAGGGCATGATGCTGTGCCCTAGCATAGGAGGAGGACGCTCTGCCCCAGGTGATTGCTGTTTCCCTTGTAGTAACTGATCCCCCCATGAATTGTCTACCCTGCATCTCACCTCCATCCCTAGCCCTCCAAGAGCTCCTACCTCTCAGCCAGACGGGCCCAGCGTGGGAGTCTTTGCAGAGGATGGCATCTGGGCACCGGGAGGTGCCGACGAGGTAGAAGATGATCCATACAATGACTATCAACATCATGACAGTCAACAGGAAGAAGACGTCGTAATCATGCACAGCAATCTTCTCAAAAGCCCCGCTGCTCACCAGTGTGCAGGCCAGCAGGGCCAAGTGCACGGCCAGGAGGATGGAGAACATGCGGCCTCCCTTCTTCCACACTTCCTTGGAGGCAGGAGTGGAGGGAGGCTGATGAGACTGGTGGCTGAAAGACACTATCTGGCTTGAAGCCAAGCTGGCTTTGTCATCCTTCTGTCCACAGCCCATGCTGGAGTTGGGGTGTCTGATCTCGCTGTCCTTCCGCACGAGCTCTTCGGTCATGGTTCAGCTAATGCCTTAGCTGAGAGTTAATGCTGTTGGGAGGAGAGCCCCATGAATGAGAAGTGTCACTTCATTTTGAATAATCCGGGGCTGGACCAAATCAGGACATGTGATGAGGAGGAGAGGACGTATCAGAGGAATGGGGAAGGATGAGACAAGGAGCACAAAAGGAGGGATGAGCTCATTTTCAACCTTTCTCTTCCCGGTTCCCCGAAGACTGCGTTCTTGCTTAAGACACTTTTGCTTGGGGAGATGGCAGGTCAGTTTAACTAAGCATGTGTAACTTGTCACACAATATTTAGATGTTTATTGATGCAAGTTACTGGGAAAGCACCAGAAAAGCACTCACAGGATTAAATATCCTGGGGCAAATGGCCAATGTAATTTGATTTCTAAATGTCAACCACTAAACATTCTGAGAAATTGTCATACTTCCTGGCTGAGGAACAGGCCACTGAAAGGTAAGAAAGCTCTGTGAGTCTTTGGAACATCACATCATGGTTTAAACCAACCCCTGCAAGAAGGATGTGAGCTATTTCCACTGTCACTCCCTCTAAAGCCTCTTGCCTGTGCCAAGGTTGGGACTTCATTGATTCTCAATGAAAAGCCTGAAATAAAGCAAATTAACTATTCAAACAAAGCCATTCCACCAACCTGTTCTGCTGCCTCGAATCCAAATCTCTGCTTTTGCCAGGCTGTTGGAGAAGTTTCCCCGTTGCTGCAGCTTGGTCAGCCAAAGAATTTATACCCGTTGGGATGTCTCTGTGATTTATACCATGTCTGGAGCTGACAGCAATTCTTCATGGGCTTCTCAGAGAAACTCATGTGATCCATTTTGTGCAATAGCTGATTTTGGGGAAGCAAGAGAGAGATGAGGAGATAAGGGTTATTTACCCGGGGAGGACATGAGATGACAACACTGCTAAGCATGGCACGGACCGCTCGGTCGCAAGGTCACAGTCATCATAGAGCAAAGCCACCCCATAAAACCCACCTACCTGCAGGCACGAGATCTGTTCCCTTGAGAGAAGATGGTTTAGGTGATGAATTTATCTTTGCTGGTAATTTTGGGCTTGGCTTTCTGGTTAACTGAGCACAGTAAATGTTGTGCCTCACCCTGAGCTATTCCCATCAGAACGCTCTATGCATGGAATGTTTTTGAGGGAAAGGAAGAAATTTGCACTTGTAGCTCTTCAATGTTAAGGGCAGCTCAATCTTTTCCCACCCATGGTGCCAAGATTAAGGAAGGTTTTGTACTAGAATTGGGCAGGATTTGGGACCTGGAATCCATGTTCCCCGTTGGTGACGCACTGCCTTTGACTTTTCAGGATGGGATCACCTTTCTCTGGCCTTCAGGAGCTTAACTTCTCACCTTTCAAGGAGGAAGAAGCTGTGTTACAAACCATGGTGCAGGTGGGATCCAAACATTTGCCAGGTGAAGGGAGAGATTTTGCTCAAGATCTCTTTTACCTCCAGCTGTTATATTTTGGTGGGGGAGATAGGGGAGCCCAGGGCAGTTCTGAGTGGATGGGGACAAATTTTATTCCTTCATGAGGACACTTCTTTTGGACATATATCTGCTGCTTGCCTCCTCTGGGACAAGCCCAGAGATGGGGCAGTTTGGTGGGCATTTCAGTCCCATTCCTGCCTGCTCACCACTATGCTCCTTCCTGCAGCACTACAGGGAGAATATCAAACTGAACTATGTGGGATGGTGAAGGAGACATGAGGACCTACTCTGCCACCCAGGGAGACCTCCATGTGTCTTTCCCATGCTGCCACCAGCCGGCTGCCACAAGCAGTACTGAGTCTGCTGATCTGAGGAGCTTCTCCATGAGGTGAGTGGTTGATCTTTTCTCAATCTGTAGCCTTTCCCAGGGGAAGCCCAGACCCCTGTGCTGTGAATCTGAGCTGATGATGGTGATGTTTTGCAGAGGTCAGAAGTTCAGAGTCTCCCTCAGCACTAAATGCACTGATTTATCCTCCCTCTTTTCTCCTTAACAGCCAGCAAGAGAGGAGAGAGCGTCTGCTGCCTTGGGCAATGTTCCCAGTCCCCCCCTGGCAGTCACCATACAGCATAACAAGCTTAATTAGTAATAATACAAGAATCATTAAATAATGTTGGTAATGAATTGCAGACGTTACTATGCTGCTTTTCATCTTGGAGGTTCCCAGCACCAAATACCTCCGTGTTTAGAACATCCCGTCAGGGCTCCTCCAGGGAGGCTGAGCGGGTGAGTCTCAATCTGTTGATGCGAGTGAACTGTTTGGGAGTGGACCCTCCCTCTGGGGCACTTACTGGTGTCCCCAGGCAGCCAGAAAGGTGACTCCATGTCAGTCACCCAGGGGTTAATCACGGCAGCTTTTGTGGGTGCACCTGGAACTGCTTTGGGGCCACTCTGCTGTCTCGGGGCATTTTTTTCCTTACAAGAATAAGCTGTGTTGCTCTCTGGTTTCCCCCCTCTCTGCTCATCACCTTCCAGCCTTCTCTGCTGCTCTCTTTCAGTTTTTCCCCATTTTTCCACTCTCTTTTCTCTCTCTCATCCATCTCCTGGATCTGCCTTTTCCCCCCCCACCAAACCCTGCCCCGTGGCTGTGCTTTCCCTGACGAAGGGTCCAGCCCTGGACATCTCCATCCCCAGGACATGATAGGTAAAACCCCCAAGAGAGCAGCAGGAAATTCCTCCTCGGTGAGATTCACTGTTTGGCACAATGTGCCATGAGAGCCACGTCCTTTGGTCAACATCCAGGCTCAGCTCCATCTCACCTGACAGCAGAGGGTGCCCAGGGCTGGGAATCCTGAGCCGGAGGCATCGCCTGGGGCCATCCGGCTCTGCAGGGCTCACTGCACCCAGAAATGCTGTGTCAGCAGAAAACACACTGAAGACCAAACATTGCCCCTCCTGCCCATCATGGCAGAAGTACCGAGCTACAGACAGGAGTGAGTTTGGTTTAAGGGGGTTTTTCCATCTCCAAAGAGGGAGAGAGGGTGAGGAAGGGAATTTTTCCAGCTGATATGAGTTACTCTGGGTTATCACAGACGCCTGTTGTGCAGTTTGTTGTGCAGTTCCCTAGAAAGCTGAGTCCTGTGGGCACAGGCAGGGTAGGTGGGGGACAGGGATGATGGCTGGGTCTGCTGTTGTCTTCCTAGTGACAATATCGTCTTCCTAGTGACAATAAGAGATATATATATATATATATATATATAGTGATATACATATATATATGTATATATGTGTGTGTGTGTGTATATGTATGAATATATATTTAAAAAAAAAACCCCAAACCAAGCTGTAAACACCCTCAGTGTTGCTTTAAAATCAGGAGCAGTCACCCACCTGCTCTCAGCCATCCCTGCACGGAGCAGGAGCATCCCTCCATGTCCCTGCTGCTGCCCGGCTCTGAGGGGCTGTGAGTGGAGGCACCAGGGGCTGATGATCCATCAGCCCACGCTTTCTCCTCCAGCTGCTGCCAACCCTCACTCGAGATGGGGTGGCTACAGCAAGGGACATGCAGGGGTATGGGGCAGGATAGGACCCATGAGCTTTTCTGGCAGCTGGCTCTGCTGAGGGGACACATAGACCTGGTGAGCTGTCACTGCATGGCCCATGCTCCGCTGAGCACCACTCAGTGATGCTGTTTAATTGGAGCTTTTAATGTGCAGCGGAGCTGATGCGTGAAGGGTTTGCTGCGAGGAGGGCCGGAGGATGCTTAGGACCCAGGGGAAGCGCTGGAGAGCTAGGCTGGAGCTTGGAGGAGCTCCTGCCTCCCCAGCCAGGACTTCTCAGGTGTCCTGGCACAGCGGAGTGGAGCTGAGCGAGACGAGCTGGGCCCTCCTGGCAGCTCCCCCTTCCCCACATCCATGCCCATCCTCTGAGCCCCCCTGGGCACTCATGCACTCACCCGGGGACCATTTCACACCATGAACGACCAGTACCACCGAGCAGCCCGGGATGGGTACCTGGACCTCCTGAAGGAAGCCACCAAGAAGGACCTGAACTCACCGGACGAGGATGGCATGACCCCGACCCTATGGGCTGCCTACCACGGCAACCTGGATGCCCTGCGCCTCATTGTCAGCAGAGGGTGAGTGATGGGGAATGCACGGTGCTGGGCACAGGGGATGGAGTAGCTTGGACCCCATCTTTCCCCCTTCCTTGCTCGCAGGTCAGCGTGGGTGCTGATGCCCCACAAAATTATGGCTTCTGTCCGTAACACCACCACCCCCCGTCCTCCCCTCTGTTATTTTTTCTCTCTCTGTGGTGCTTTGGGTCTAATCCAATGCTCCTGATAATTGCTCTGGGTTTTTCCAGCTCCTCTGATCCTATAACCACCCTATGACTCTGCTCCTGCCCCAAACCCCACCTCCAGATCTTCAGGTGAGGCTGGGTCTCCCCTGCACCCCTACAACTGCTTTTGCAGTCAGGTCCTGTAAAGAAACATAGCACACCAGGTCACTGCCATGAAAAAAGCCCTTTTAAAGGAGAGAGCAGAGAGAATAATTGCTCCTTCTGTCCCAAGAATTGCTTGCACAGAGAGATATGTGTGGTGCCAGCTGGCAGGAGGTGACACTTGTCTGTTTTACCCCAAGCAAGATCTGAATATGTGACCCCCGGGCAGCCTGTCGTGCACTGGAGCTCAGGAAATTCAGGAGCAGGTTCCCCAAGAGCTGATTTCATTAAGCCCAGACTCCCCCCCGGGGGCTGCTCAATGCTGATGTGTCTCTTGGTCCCTCACCCTGGGCTGCCAAACCTGAGAGTCTCTGGCTCCATAAGTGTGGATGTGGTGGAAGGAGGGGAGTGGGATTGAAGGGTTTGTCAGGCTGGAGGGTTTTACATCTTATTGTTGGGGGAACTGCACAAGAAGGTCTGTGCTAAGGCAAGAGCTGCTGTACCTAGTTCCTTCCTGAGCAGTACATGGCTCTCCTGTTCTTACCAGCCTCCTGAAGGACCATGTCCCAGTGCTTCCTTCCCACTCTGGTGGCTTTTCTAAGCACCTCATCTAAAGGCATCCAAAGTGGGGTGGCCTCTACTTGTGCTGAGAGATTGGTGGTGCTGCTGATTTTGATTTATTTCCTTCTGATATTGAGGAATAGTTCTAGGGCTGGCAGCCTGAATGTCCAGCCCACCTCCTTTGAAGGGCTTTGCTGCTTTGTGTTGGGTTGGGTCTCAGTGGGACTGTCAGCTCCAAAGCAAGGATTTTCTGTGTCCACCCTGGGCTGTGTCTCCAGCTCTTGTATCCCATCGGCCATGTCTCCGCTGTGTCTGTTCCTGCGCTCTCAGCATCTCCTGATACTCTGGTCTGCTTATACAAAACCTTCAGCCATCTCCCCTGCCCAAGGCAGAGTTCCTCCACACGTTGTTGTCCTTCCATTGTAAAACATTTTCTTTTCAGATCTTGGGGTCAGAAAGGCTGTATACAAAGTCACTTTGAAAAGTCCTTGAGTGCCTGCTGTGATAGGACTGTGTTCAGAAAAAGGTGTTTTCAGAATCCAGAGGGGAGAGAGAGCAAGACATGGCTGTGAGTGGTGCATCCTAAGATGCTCCTGGGTTGAGAGCCCTGTGATGCTTCCCTGGGCTGTGTGACTTACTGTGTCCCTCCCAGGAGAGACTGTGCCCAGCAGAAACCTGCTCAGCTCCTGCTGGGAAGGGAATCACCATCCAGGGCCAGAGAGACAAGGGCAGGAGCTCTGGGGATGAGACCTCAAAGTCAGAAATGGTTCCAAATACTCTTTGATGGCCAAAAAGCCTTTCTGGAGGGGCGTCCATCCACAACATGGGCCTTTCAGACTGACTTTATATCTCTTTATATAATTCTATCTCCTTATCTTGCCTGTCTCCATCGCAGGACACCCTGCAGCCCCGCTGCCTGTCCTGCCAATCCACACATCCAAGCCAGCAGCTTCTGCCTCTCCATGAAGCCCAAGGGCTACTTTTCCATGGAGAGGCCCCTTCTATAAATTCACATTGAATTAAAAGGTCCTCGTGGCTCAATCATGTCCGCGTCCAGCTTGGCTGCTGTTTAATTAACAGGCTAATACGTATTTGTTCCTGCCAGTGAAAATAGCCTGGCCAAAGCCCAGTGCCCTTTACGTGATGGATGGTGGAGCAAAGTGTGTGTCTGTGGGGCTGCAGGATGTGTTTACATCCCTGTGGTCATCTCCATTTGTCAGATCTTCATCCAGGACCATGCAAAGATCAGTGAAGCCTCCTTGCCTCTCTGCTCAGCTCAGTGTGGAGACAGGAACACCTCTGCTCCCTGGACTGGCTTTGGGTCTGCGAGAGGGACAGGGGTGACAGAGGGAGGAAATCCTGTAGGACCCAGGAGAGCCCATGGACAGACCCTGTAATTTTCTGCTAGAGCTTAGGACAGTGTGCAACTGTGTTTAAGTCTTGTTTAGAGATTAAACTTAATTCTGTGTTGGATGTATTACTATTAGATCTGCATTATAGCAATTGGGATGCAAGAGAGAGGACGCTTGAGTGTCCCAAAATGTCAGGGCATTTCTCTCTGTCTGGCCTCTGCTGTCCAAATATTCCTCCTCCATCGTGGAGAGCCCTGGAGTGTGAGGCAGGAGCGTGTGGGGCCGCAGCACAGAGCAGTCCCTGGGGAGCAGAGGCTTCGGGGATGGGCTGGCTCCGCACAGGGATGGGGTGGGAGGCAGCTTCAGGGTTGCAGAGGGATGCCAAGGCACAGGGGGTGATGGAGGAGTCTTGGGGCAGCAGGAAGCACTGAATCCTCCTTGCTAGTGCTGGGTGGTGGCACTGGTGCCCAGACAAGCTGGGAGATTGAGTGCTGGGGCCAGGCTGTTATGAAACATCCCAGCGAGGCTGGCCAGAGGCATCCTGAGAGAGCAGGGCTGTGGGAAGAGGCTGCTGGGGACAAAAATCACAGCTCTGGTCATTGTGCCTTGCTGCTGGCCAGGCTGCTGGACTGGCCACTCAGGGTTGTGGAGGCTCTGTCCTCAGTGAAGG